GTCGCCATCCCATATTTCTTTCCACTTTCTCTAAATTTAATACAATTATCTGGATAATTACATATAAATACACTATAATTACCGTTATTTTTCCATACTCTCTATTGGATCTGATACCACAGCTTTATATAATTAATAAATAATATTATCAATGGTTTGGGACCTGCGGGCGCCTCCAGCATCTCCCCCCCCCAAACCCTCCAGGATTTAAAGGTTTATGTTCTTAGCCCGGGTGAGCTATTTTTACGCATCCTCACCAGACTGGGCCTTATTTCTCCCAGTTTTTCACTAGAGAAAAAAAAAAGTAATTATTTTTTTTTAATTCCTGAGAAGACTTATCAGCCGGAGCAGAGTTTCCTGCCTGGAGCTGGAAGGCTCCGTCCGGAAATGGCACCAATGCCTTGCCAGGAGGGGGGATGGACGGATGCGGGAGGAGGCTAAAAATACCCCCCAGCGCCTTGTTTTCCTCTTCCCACCCTGGAAAAATCCAATTAAAACCTCTGAGCTCTTAGGGAAAAGTGAGAGGTTATTGAAAGCTCCCGAAATCCTTCAAACCCAGGGGTTTTTCCCCCCAAACAGGGGGTTTGGGATGATGGGCAGCATCATCCTTTCCCCCCTGCGTCCCGATGTGAGGCATCCCTGGGGCGCTGGCAGGAGCAGGGCCAGCCGGGGTCACGGATCGATGGCTGGATGCAGGGATGGAGCTGCTGGGATGCAGGGCCTGGTGATGTTCCCCTGGGAAAAACAATCCAGCCCCAGCACAAACTCAGCCTTGCCTGGGCTGATTAATTTTCTGGCTGAGCCTTACGGACAAAGCTGGGGAATGATCTTCCCCCAGGAGCTGAGCATCCCTCCCCGGTCCGTGGTACCCCCCTTAGCCCATCAGATCTCCTCCCAGTGGGGCTTGGGGGGATGCTGGGATGTAGGGGATGTGGTGACAGGGGATTGGGATGGGATATTTGGGGTCAAATGAGGTGGGGCACCGGAGGAAGCCGCTCATGGATTATCCCAGTTTAGTGCTGCAGCAAAAATGGGGGATACTGGGATGCTGGGAAAGGCTTGTGGGGTGCATATGGGGGAGCCCTACAAATAAATCCCATGGGATCTGCTGCAGCATCTTGGGAAGCTGGGAGAACCCCAGTACTGAGCTAAGGGGGGTGTCTGCCTGCTGGAGCTGGCTGCCTCCTGGGAAGGGTGACTTAGGGCCTTAGGAATTCCCAAGCTGAGTGTGGGGCGGAAGCTGGGATGGGAGGGAGCAGCGATGTCCTGCATCCTCTGGAGCAGGCGGAAAGCCCTTCCTGTGGCAGGGAAGGAGGCAAAATGTTCTCTTGGCTCAGCTTCCTGGTGATAACCTGGGATTGTTGTTTTTGTCTTGGGAATGGGGTTTTTTTCTCACAGTCAGTGAGGTTTTGTGAAGAAGTCGCACCTGGGGTTGAGTCATTTCCCGGTTTCTTCCCTCTCCCACGGGCAGGTGTCTCCTTGGCCGTGCTGGAGGTGCATGTGGGGACGAGCCTGGTGTTCTCCGTGGAGGGGCAGCAGGCAGTGCTGCCTGTCTGGTACACCAGCCACTCCCAGAATGAGCCCTACATCACCTGGATGCTGAACAAGAAACCTACTCCCTTCCAGGTGAGAAGAGGGCAGGGGCTGCAGGACTGGAGGTGGAGGGGACCAAGGTGTCGGTGACCATGGAGGGGATGCTGGTGGTGCCCATGATGGGGGGAAGATTATGGTGCCCACCATGGGGTAGTGGCCACAGTGCCCGTGGTGGAAGGATGCCCATGATGATGAGGTGTCCATGATGGAAGGAAGCTCATGGTGCCCACCAAGATGCTCATGATGGGATGATACTCATGGTGCCCGTGCAGGGAAGATGCCCACAATGGGTAAGTGCCCATGAGGGGGGGAACCTCACAGCGGCCCACAATGGGTAAGTGTCCATGGTAAGGACGTGGCGCCCATGATGGGGAGATGCCCACAAAGGGGAGGTGCTCATGGTGGGGATGTGCCCATGGGGAAATGCGTGTGGGTCTCACAGTGGGGGAATGCTTGTGGTGCCCATGGTGGAGAGTTGGCCCATGATAGGGTGAAGTTCATGGCACCCACCATGGGGAGGTGACCACCATGGGGGACATGCTCATGGTGCCATCCCCACACCCACGGGAAGCTGCTTGTAGTGCCTGAGATAGGGTGGTGTTCATGATGGGGGAACCTCATGGTGCCCACCATGGGGGAGTGCCCTTGATGGGGGGTGCTCATGGTGATGTGGTGATGCCCACAGTGCCTGCAGTAGGGAGGTGCTTGTGGTACCCACAGCAGGGAGAGACACAAGATGGGGAGAGATCCAAGCTGGGGAGATGCCTGTACAGGGAAATGTTTGTGGTGTCCATGGTGGGAAATGGTGGGGAGATGACTGTGGTCCTCATCATCAGGAGGTGCCTACGGTGGGGAGGTGCTCATTGTGCCCGTGAGGGGAGATGCCCACGCTGGGGTCATGCCCAGGGTGCCTGCAATAGGGAGTTACTTGTCTTGCTTACGATGGGGAGATACCCATGGGTGGGAGATGTCCTTAGAAATGCCCATGGTGCCTACAGTGGGAAAATGATCACAATGGGGACACCACTTGTGGTACTCCTGATGGGGAGATGCTCATGATGGGACAGTTGTTCATAGTGCCCATGCCAGGGGTATTTGTGCCTGTGCTGGGGAGCTGCCTGCAGTTCTCATATCCAGGATGCTCAGGGGAGATAAGGCTGGAGGGGGCTTATGCAGCAGCCACTGCTCTACAAAATTTGGGATTTGAGGGGCTTTTCTCTCCAGCAGCGCGATCTGGAAGCAAAAGCATGTGGTTTTTTCCCTATGCAGATCCTGTCATACATAGGTGGGGTGGTGAAGGTGGAGGAGACAGATCTGAAGTCCCGCGTGGGGTTCCTGTACCCCATCATCACCCACAACATCTCGGTGTTCATCAACGCCACCCGGGAGCAAGACTCGGGTCAGTACATGTGCACTGTCAACGTGGTGGATGACCCCATCAGGATGCACAAGAACGTCGGCCTCATCAACCTCACCGTCCTGGGTAAGGCTCCGCCAGTGCCCCCGGCTGCCCCGGACCTCCCCGTGGTGCCCCTCGGGACTAACATCTGCGCCCACAGTGCCACCGGCCACCCCCACCTGCCAACTGCACGGCAACGCCATCGTGGGGGCCAACGTGACCTTGAGCTGCTCCTCCAAGAAGGGGAAGCCCTCGCCCATGTACCAGTGGCAGCGCGAGCCGCCCACCCTGCAGGTCTTCTTCCCCCCTGCCCAGGGTAAGGTGGCACCAGTGTGGGGCTGGGGAGTGGGGTGGGTGGGTGGGCCGGAATATCCTGAGGAGATTCAGCTGGGGGATTCTTTGGCTTCACCCCCTTGACCGCTTCCTGCACGAGGAGGTGGAGGGTGTGGGAGTGGTTGTGAGGCAGCACCCAAATTTCTCACCTGCAGACCGGGCCAGGGGCACCCTCAAGCTGACCAACCTCTCCCTGGAAATGTCGGGGGTCTACGTCTGCAGGGCTGAAAACCAAGCAGGTTCTGAGAACTGCAGCATTGTCCTGGAGGTACACTCAAGTGAGTACGTGTCCACAGGGTCGGGGAGGGGGACACAGTCCCCATGAGGTCCCAGTGGGAATAAGGCAATAAGGGAATCTCTGTCTCTCTCTGGCAGAAAGCACCAAAGCAGTCATTGCCGGCGCCGTGCTGGGCTCCCTGGGTGCCCTTGCCACCATCATCTTCTTTGCCCAGAAGTTTTTTGGCTACAGGAGGAAAAAACGTGACAGCCAGGAGGAGGGAGCCAACGAGATCAAGTGAGGCACTTTTCCTGTGGAGGGGGTTCAAATCATCATTAGGTTCAGGGTTAATGGGTGAGGAGGGTGTTTCCACCTCTGGCCCGTCATTTCTCAGGTTCAGAGTTAATAGTGGGGAAGAGTTCTTCAACTCTGGCCAGTCATCAATGTGCTCCAGCGGCAACAATCAGGAGAAAAGTCTCCACCTCTGGCCAGTTGTCATGAGGTGTCAGAGTTAACAAGGGGATTTTCCACCTCTTTCCCTTTTGTCCCTCTGTTTGGGGGTCCAGGACGTCTGCACGCCCTCCTTGCCCAGGGAGAGTACGCTGTGCGGGGGGAAGGAAGGGTTTCCAGAGCTGATCTCTCTGACGCTCTCCCCTCGTGGCAGGGAAGACGCCGTGGCACCCAAAACCCCGTCGTGGGCGCGGAGGCCGGCTTCAGACACCATGTCCAAAACCAGCACCCTGTCCTCCATCGCTGGCACCCGGCAAGCCTACGGAGCCAGAGCCCCCTCCGACACCGCCTCCATCCTCACTACCACCGGCAGCTACCGGGGACCCCCGCCCCGGGCGGGGGGGCGGCCCCCCAACCTCTCACCCCCCGCCGTTAACGGGACCCCCCGGCGCCGCCAGGATCCAGCCGCCGCTCCCGTGGCGTCGCTGCCCCCCTCCAGCCTGGCACGAGCAGGCGCCGTTCCAGTCATGGTGCCAGCGCAGAGCCGGGCTGGCTCCTTGGTGTGAGCATCCCCAAAAAACAGGGGTGCCCATAGCCAGCCCATCCCACTCCCTGGTTCCTGGGGTGGTTTTGGTCCCTTTTTGGGTTTCCTTTTCTTTTTAACAGATGCCTCGAGCAGCTGGACTCATCGTGGGTGTGTTTAATGGGTGCAGGGGCTCTCTGGGTTTGGAGGGACCGAGTCTCCCCATAAATATCACCCCCCAAACCAGCCCCAGCCCTGCCTCAGGGGGGTCCCCTTCTTATGATTTTTTTTTTCTATATCTATATATCAGGTGAAATGAGGGATTTTTCATAAAAGAAAGTAGGGGTGGGGGGATGGGGGGTGATGGGGACACACACACACACACTTTTTTTAGGGGTTTTCTGATTAAAAGCTGCTGCGCTGCCCAGCACCGGCGCTTTGGATGAGTTTGTGCGGATTTCGAGGCGGGGAGGGATGTCCCACAGCTTTCTGGGTGATGTCATAGGGCAGGGTGATGTCACAGTGCACCAGCCAGGCTCCTCAGGGTAAGGTGACATCATGATGTACGTCACACCCTGTGACCGTGATGTCACTCCCTGCATCAGGAGGTAGAACGCCACAGTGAGTGTGTGACATCACAGCATCTGACTGATGCCTGGATGATGCCATACAGGCATGTCACATGTCCATCAGGGATGTCATGTGTGCCTGCATGATGTCACACTTGCCATTACACAGCAGCAGTGATGTGACATGTGCCTGTATGATGTCACACCCACAGTCACACCTAGTTGTGACATCACACTCAGTGGAATGATGTCACTCCAGCCATCACACACACACCTGTATGGTGTCACACATCCAGCAGTGACATCACACACACCTGCACGGTGTCACACATCCAGCAGTGACATCACACACACCTGCATGGTGTCACAGCAGCTGTCACTTGTCCAGTAGTGACATCACTGCCCATCTCATGCCAGCACCCCACAAGTCACCTCCACCCACGGGTGATGTCACACCACACCCTGATGTCACGTCACACGCCTGGCAGTGATGTCACACGTGCCTGCACATGCTTGCAGGTACACATGGGAGATCCCTGCTGGGCACACCTGCCCCACGCCCCTCCCCCCCCGCCCGCTGTGACCTCACCGCTCTGCCGGTGACATCAGAAGGCACCGAGGACAGGCCGGGGCTCTGGCAGGGGCGTTTATTGGGGCGGGGGGTGTCTGGGCTGGGGGGGGGCAGCCAGGGGCAGGGGCAGGGCCTGGCTGTCGGGGGACCCCGGGGAACGCATGCGGGGGGCAGGGGGTGAAGCGGGGGCTCCTGGGCCTCGGCGGGCGGCGGTGGGAGGGAGTCGGTGGCGAGGGGTTTCCGGTGAGCAGCTGGTGGCCCCTGCAAGAAGGAGAGAGCGAGTGGTCAGCCTGGGCTGGCCCTGCCTGCACCCTGCACCCTGAGCCTGCCTGAACCCCGTGCCCTGTTTGCACCTTCAGTGCTCTCTGCACCCTGAGCCTGCCTGAACCCCGTGCCCTGCCTGCACCCTGCACCCTTCACCCTGCCTGTACCCTGCACCCTGCCTGTGCACTGAGCCCTGAGCCTTGTTTGTACCCTGTGCCCTGCCTGTACACTGAACCTTGAGACTTGTTTGTACCCTGTGCCCTGCCTGCACCTTTAGTGCTTTCTGCACCCTGTGCCTGCTTGTACCCTGCACCCTGAGCCTTGCCTGTGCCCCGTGCCCTGTCTGCACCTTTAGTGCTCTCTGCACCCTGTGCCTGCCTGTACCCTGCACCCTGCCTGTACACTGAACCTTGAGCCTTGTTTGTACCCTGTGCTGTGCCTGTACCCTTCACCCTGCACCCTGCCTGTACCCTGTGTGTGTGTGCTCTCTGTATCCCATGCCTTGTCTGCACCCTGCACCCTTCACCCTGCCTGTGCCCTGACTGCACCCTTCCCACACCCTGCACCCTGTTCACATGCTGCTCCTGCAGCCTGCACCCTCTCCATGCCCTCCCCTGCCCACACCCTGCCCGTGCTCTACTTGCAGCCCGCCCACACCCTGCCTGCACCCTTGTCCTGCCTCCACTGCTGCCCACACTCTGCCCTCACCCAGCCCAGGAATCTGGGGGGGACCCCTGCCTGCACCCCCCTAGGCAGAGCACTGTGGCAGAAGGAGGGGAACCTGGCTCCCCTGCTGCCAAACTGCTCAGCCCCCCTAATAAGGCATCCCAAAGGAACCTCCGGGCCCTAAGAAGCTGCACAGCACCTACACTTGGCAGCTGCTTCCTCACTGCAGCCCTCTGACATCCTCACTGCAGCCCCAGTGCACCCTTGCTCAGTCCTCACTGCAGTCCCATTGAATCCCCACTGCATCTCCAGTTCATTCTCATTGCATCCTCACTGGATCTCTGTTGCTTCCCCACTGCAAACCCAGTTCATCCCCTCACATTCTCACTGCATCCCCTTTGCAGCCCCACTGCAGCCTCACTGTCTCCACGTTGTCCCCACTGGATGTTCACAAAATCCCCACTGCATCCTCTGTTCATTCTCATCCCAGCCCCGCTGAATTGCCTCTCCATGCTCACTGCATTTTCACTGAATCTCCAGTGCATTCTCACTGCATCCCCATTGCTTCCCCACCACGTCTCAGTTCTGTTCTGAACTGTATCCTCAGTTCATTCCCACTGCGTCCCAGCTGAGCTCCACTTCCATCCCCACTGCATCCTCAGTTCCTTCCCACTGCAGCCTTGTTGAATCTCCACTGCATCCTCACTGCATCCTTCTCTTCCTCCTCACTGCATTCCCGCTGCATCTTCAGTTCATCCCCGCCGTATCTGCACTAAATCCCCATCGCATTCCTACTCCATCCTCATGGCATCCCAGTTCCATCCCAGCTGCACCCCAGTCTCATCCCAGCTGCACCTCCAGCAGCCCCGCCACGCTCACGTGGCCGAGCCGGCAGCACGCCCTCCCCGCCGCTAACCCCGAAGCAGCCCCGCCGGTACCCGGGGCCATCCCGCGCTGCCGGCACCGGCACGGCTCAGGGCACGGCCCGGCCACGGCGCAGCCACCACCCGGGCTCCAATGCCACGCGGCCTCGGCACCGTGGGCGCTTTTTAAATTTACCTTTTCCTGCCAGGAGACTGTGACACAGGCTTTTAAAAATAGCATGTGCTGAGGCGAGGCGCTCGGGGTGGTGTTGCTAAGGGAGAGATTCAATCCAAATCTAGGGCTGCGCCTTCCCATCCTACTTCCCATCCTTCCCAACTACTACGGCGCGCACCCAAATTTAGGGCAAGGCAGGGGCTGCCTGCCTGTGTATTTCCATCTCCTGGGAGGAAAAACCCCTTCTCCACCCTGAACCAGTGCAGGGAAGGTTGCTCCATCCCAAATCTGCACAGGGAAGAATGCTCCATCCCATATCTGCGCAGAGCAGAATGCTCCATCCCAAATCTCTGCAGGGGAGGATGCTCCATCCCAAATCAGCTTGGGGAAGGGTGCTCCATCCCAAATCAGCTTGGGGAAGGGTGCTCCATCCCAAATCAACAGAGCAAAGGACACTCAGAGCAGCATCCTTATAGAAATGACCCAGTTTTGGGGGGAAGAAGCGGGATTTGGGGTGTACCTAGTCGCCGTTGCGGAGGTCGCCGCCGCGGGTGCTGTTGGCGCACTCGGCGTCCTTGGTTTTCCGATCAATCTCACCCCCTTTGATCTTCTTGCGGGTCATATGGCCACGGAAACTAGCCTGGATCTTGGCAGCTGCCGCATTGGCATCAGGATCGTCCAAAGGGATGTCCAGGATGTCCTCGTCCAGCTTTGTGCAGGCTCCCTCCTGACGGCGGCAATGGCAGGGTTACAGCTGGTGCCACCTCAAAGAGCGCAGCCCCCTCCCCAAAGGAATCCGTTCAAGAAGGTCTTAAACGAGCCCCTGGTCTAAAAATTAGGGGGAGGGCTGCTAAAAATTACGTTTACTCATTAAAAATTGGGTTCCTTTGTTTAAAAGGAGGGGTTTTGCTAAAAATCAGGGTCCCTTGCAGGTGTCTTGGGGCAATGGCAACCCTGGACCACACGGCTGCAGGAAGCCAGACTCCAGCCAGGGTTATGAGGCAGGGAGAGGAAAATCCATGGGAGCAGAGAATGGGTTCTGGGGGATACTTCTGGCAGGGGGCTGGGGGCCATCCTGCACAAAATTAGCTGATCATGCCTCAGTTTCCCTTTTTCTCATAGCCTGTTGCATCTTCCTACATCCCTCCTCAGGGCTTTGGTTGGAAACACCAGGAAATTTGGGAAAGCAGTGATGCCAGAAGGGAGGAAAAGCCCCACAGGATCAAACCACTCTAACCAAATTCCCCTCCTGCCACATCCCACCAGAGCAGTTGGACTCAGCACCAAGTTCAATGGGAAAAAAAGAAAAACATGGGAAAATTAAATGAGGTGGAAATGAGCTGGCATTGGATGATCCAGTGCCAGCAGCTGTGGGGGAGAAGCCTTTGTGTTGCCCCATGAGCACTTAAAGGACCTAAAGGAGTTTTGGGGGGCTTATTTGGAAGCTGTAGATTCAGGGGGGAGGAAGCTCATCCTGTTGGAGCATGCCATGGCTCCACGAAGTTGCTCAGGTTGTTTTACCATTGTGAAAGGTGAGGATGGGTCCAAGGTGGAAATGATATGTCCAGGGTGGAAATGTTATAGCCAGGGCTGGAAATCCTATAGCCAGGGGAGAAATCCTATAGCCAGGGGGAGGAAATCCTATATCTAGGAAAGAAATCCTATATTCAAGAGAGATATCCTTTATATGCAGAGGTGGGGGAGAACAACATATATCCAGGGGAGAAATCCTATATACAGGTGGGAGAAACCTATATCCAGGGGAGAAATACTATATCTGGAGAAGGGAATCCTATAGTCAGGGGAGAAAACCTATACATGGAGGGGCATATCCTATATCCAGGCGAGAAATCCTATATCCAAGAGAGAAATCCTATATTAGGAGAGAGGAAATCCTATATCCAGCGGAGAAATGCCATATACAGGTGGAGGAAATCTATATATGTGGGGGCATTTCCTATATCCAGGGTAGAAATCCTACATTCAGGGAAGAAATCCTACATACAGACGGCAGAAACCTATATCCAAGTTGAGAAATCCTGTATAGAGGTAGGAAAAAACATACATTCAGGAGAAAAAATCCTATATCCAGGGGAGACATCCTATATTCAGGGAAGAAAACCCATAAACCCATAAACAGGGGGCCATATCCTATATTCACAGGAGAAATCCTATATCCAGTGGAAAAACACCATATCCATGGGGTAAAAACCTCTATGCAGCTGATGAAAACTTGTATCTAGGGGAGAAATCCTATATTCAGAAGGAGAAATCTTACATATGAGGGGAAAAGTCCTATACATAGGGGAGAAATCCTATATCCAGGCAGGAAAAACCCTATATCCAGGGGGGGCTTTGCCTCTCTGGAGGTGCCCAGGAGGAGAGTTGGGGGCTTTTCCCTGTGCTGCTGTCTTAGGGGGAAAAAGTGGGGAAAGGGGAAAGAGAAAGGGGAAAGGGGGAGGAAAAGGGGAAAAGGGGCAGGAAAAGTCAGGGGTCAGGGAGAAAGGGGAAAAGGATGTGGTTTTCTCCCCAAGCCGGCTGGTGGCCGGGAGAGAGGGGAGCTCACCCTCGGGTGAGGAGAGAGGGGTGCGACCCCAATTAAGCCCTTTATCCGTACGCAACCCCCGATCCCACCTGTAGAGCACTTGTGGGGTGGGGGGATGAAAAAGCTCAATAAAAGCTGGATTCGAGGCCGGGGGGGTTCCTCAGCGGGCTGTGGGGTGCAGGATGCTGGCCGTGCGGGATGGATTCCGAACTGCTGTGAGGCAGGACTGAGTGGGGATCTGGGGGGGCTGGGGGGCAGAAGAGCCCGGGGGCTGCAGCAGCGCCGGGGGGTCGCGGAGTTGGCTGAGCTCTTGGTGGGTGCAGCACCCATCGCACCCCCCGCCCCCAGCACCCCAAACCCCCCGGCCGCCCCCAGCCCAGAGCGGCGGTAAGGGATGAAAGGCAGGAGGGGACCGGGGGAAGGGGACCTACATTGCAGCAGTCCATGGCGGAGGGCGGGTGGGCGGCCAGCGGCGGGCGAGGGGCTCCGGCAGGATCTCGCTTCCCCGGCAGCTCTCCCGGCGCAGGTGGCAAGTTGAGCGGAGCCGCTTGCCTACGTAATGCGCTTTCCTCCGGGCGAGCCTATCAGCCCGACACCCCTGCCAGGCTTTTGGGGGGGAAGGAGGGGTGCCTTATTTTTTTTTTTCCTCCCTTTCTCCTCTTTTTTTTTTTTTTTTATTTTTTTTTTTTTTTTTTTCCCTCCTCCAATTTTATTTTGCAGCCTCCAACTCCCTCCTAACACTTAAAGGAGCCGGCAGCTCGCCTTGGAGTTTCGTGGAACACAACATCACATGCAGAGGATGCGAGCCAAGATGTGATGAGCCTTGCCTTCAGCGTGGAGGGTTTTTTGGGGGACAAAGCTATAGCAAATGGGGGTAATGGGTTCATTTTTTGGGGGGTACATGATCCACAGTGATGCTGGAGGCAAGTTTTGCCCCCGGATTGGTTTGCACAGGGGTAAAAAACCTTCTTGACCTACTTAGGACTTGGTCCTGAAGGAGGGTGAGGATGAGGATGGCAAGGATGAAGATGGTGAGGAAGGGTGGGCATGGTGGGACACAGCATCCTACCGAGCATTCTGCAGAACCCCGGGGCTGATGTGCCCAGCTGCAGGCTCCAAGCAGAGGAGTGGGCTCCACTTCTGGGGTCTGGGGGTCCCTTCCCCACTCACAGGAGCATCTGCTCCCCCACATTTGGGGTGTTCTCCAACCAGACCAGCAGCTCCAGCCACTTTCACAGCCCTCGGTGCTCCCTGCAGACCCTGCTGCCACCCCAGACCACGTCGAGGTGCTGGGACTGGCAGGGTGAGCTGGGGCACCCCGGGAAACAGGAGGGACCCCCAGGGCAATGCGGGGGGCTGCAGCCCACAGCCCCCCCACCGCCTGCCTCGCTCGCCTCTAATCCGGGTTTGGGAGTTGCTAAGCAACTGCATAAGTCGCCCGTGGGCTCCGCGCCGATGCTGCTCCAGCCAGCCCCCAAAACACAGCCTGGCCCCCCCAAGGCGGGCACCAGCACCCCCCGACCCACCCGCACCCTCGGGCCCCACTGGCTCTCCCTGGCCAAGTTTGCTCTCAGCGGTCAGCCTGCTTGGGGGCCTGGTGGCACTGGCCTTCCTCTTTGCCACCATCATCATCGCCATTAACACCCCTGTCCCACTGACATCACTGTCTCTGGCACTGGAATGGGCACTGTCCCCATCCCTGACCTCATCCCCATCACCTCCACTACCTTCTCCACCCCTACCGTCCTCCCTGTCCCCATCTCTGTCACCATCCCTGTCATGATCCCCATCCCACTTGTTGTCCCCATCCTCCTCACGATGCCAATCCCTGCTCCCATTCCCAGCTTCAACCCCATCATCCCTGTCCCTCTCCCTGTCCCCATCCCCATCATCACCCTCATCCCTGGCCCTGTTCCCTGCCACCATCCTTGTTCCCATTCCCATCCCACCTCCATCTCTTTCTCCAAGGCCACTCCTGCTGGGTGCAGGTGGTGGCACCTCTTTTCCCCTGACACCCCAGGATACCCTGCTCCCCATCCCACTCCACCTCATCCCTGCACATCCCACCACTGCCACCTCCCTCCACTGCTTCACCCACACTTGGAGGCTGAGGGGGGTCACCCCTGCCCCAGCACATGCCAGGCACCCAAATTCTCCCTTGGGAAATGCTCCCAGGCATCCCTCAAATTCCCCTGTGAGCCACTCAGCTCTCCCACTGGAGCCACTTTTCCACCATCACTTCTTTCCACCAGCACACCAGGGTGGGTGGGGATGGGGGGTGGGAATAGCTCTGCTCCAGAAAACCCCGCTGCAGCTTCCAGGAGAAGCCTTGGCAGCTCTGCTGGGATTTTTGATGGGAAGAAATCCTTTTCCCTGGATTTTAGACCCTCCAGATCCATCAGTGCCTGCTCCAATGAGAGAAGACCCGGTGTTTTGGGCGAGTTAAGTGGGAAGGGTTTTTGGAGTGATTGATCTGAGTCAATCGTTTGGGGTCACGGATCTGAGAAGTTAGCCCCAAAATTAGGATTAGTCCCTCAATTAGCCCCCAAAATCTGCTCCATCCGTGGCAGCCGGGTCCTGGCAGAGCCGCCGAGCGCCGCCGTCTCCCGCAGGCTGCGGCTGCGGAGGAGGGACGCGAAATGCCAGAACATTTCTAATCATTAATGGCGAGTTTTGAACCTGTTCCAGGCTCTGCATTTTTCCTCCCTGGACCCCTTCATCTGGATGATGCTTTTTCAGGTGCTCCAGCACCTCCAAAATTTTAATTCCAAGGCAACAACTCAGAGTTTGGAAGGGGAGAACGGGAAGTGCAGCTGGCGAGACCTGCTGAGAACATCCCGCCGTCGTGGTTCGAGATGGTGGCACCGAGGTGTTAAAAAAATCCTTTAAAAACAGGGGAAAAAATCCTTAAAAGAAAAGGGAATTGGATGCTGGAATGGTGCCCTGGGCGGGCAGTGCTGCCGGCTGCCGAGGCAGGAGCCGGCAGCCGGCGAGGCGGTGCTGCAGGGGGGGTCAAGGCGTAGCTGGTTGGCATCAGCCCCGGCACGGGGTCCCCGCCAGCTTTTTTTCCCCATCCCTCCTTCCTGTTTTTCCCGGGGGAGCCGCTGTCATGCCCCGTGCCGTGGGCGAGCACCACATATGGCGATGGAAAACAGGAAAGAGGGGGTAAAAACGGGGTGAGCATGGATGGGGGGGTTCGCTCCTCTCCAGAAATAGAGCAGGCGGCTTCGACGCAAACCCCACTTTTTGGGGGGGATTTTGAAACCACGTTGTGTGGGAAAATATGAATTTCACAGGCGGGAATAGGACTGGGGGGCCTTTGCGTGCCCCCCAGAACTCCATGGAGGTATCTCAGCTTATGGAGGGGGGTAGGAGAGGAGCAATGTCACATCATTCCTTCACGCTGGGATGTTATGAAGTTTCTTCCAACCTCCAGGGATGCAGGGGCCTAAATATAGAGGCTAAAAATACCATCCCGTGCTCAGCTCAGCCCCAAACCCAGGATTTTTCGGGGAGAAATCTCAGGTGATCGACGCTAATAACGGCGGGGACCTCGTTAATAAAATTCCTCATTAAAACAGCACCGCAGGGGCAGGATGGGAGTGGACCCACCCACGGGAAAAGGGCAGGAGCCGCTAGGGGAGGACCAAGGGGCTTTTTTTAGTTTTGGGGTTGGACAGTGGGAAATGGGGGATTTGGGGCAAGTGCTGAGGTTGCATCTCCGGAGAGGTGTTCCAGTTCATGAAGGTTATGGGGACATGCTCCTCTTTGGCTCCTCTCCACTCATTTTGGGGGTGGAATCACAGTGATCCAGAGCTGTGCACGCTGCCTGCCTCCCCTGGTGCTGCCTGCTCCCCCTCCATGTCCTTGGCCTCTTTCTGGTCCCAGAAGAAAGAAGAAAATTTAGATGATGTGGCACAGGGGTGGCAGGGACAGGGTGGGAGCAGGGACACAGTGCAGCTCTTGGCACCTCAGTGGAGTGGAGGGCAGCCTACCTTGGAAGGGGGCCAGGTGAGACCATCGTCCTCCAGCATGGCTCCCCACGCCACCGGGTCAATGCCACTAGCTAGGGAAGGAGAGAGCTTGATGCCACATGCAATGGGCACCTGGTACCACGGGCGATGGGCACATGGGACAGGCACAACATCCTGGGTGATGGCACAAATGGAAGGCCTGATGGCCATTGGTGGTGGACATTTAGGACAGGCACAAGGCCTTGGGCAACGGGCACAAGGGCAGGTTTGATGCCCTGGCGATGGGCAGACGGAGCAGGCTGGGCAGGCAGTGCAGCGTGGGGCAGGGGATGGCAGTGTGGGGATGGCTGCTGGGCAAGGCCACTCACCCTCTCTCTGCTGCAGCAGCTTTTGGAAGTACTGCGCTGCAAAGGCCACCACGTTGGTGGGCTGCTCCCGCAGCACTTCCCGCGCCAGCCCCTCCAGCAGGTTCCGGAAGCCGGCAGGCACCCTCATGCTGGTGTTGGAGGCGGCGATGGACATGGTCGCTTCTCCTGGACGCTCTGCAGCGGCACAGCCCGGGATTAACCACAGCCCACAGTGCCCGGTGCCACCGGGCAGCGCCGGGACTCGAACCCGTGGAGCAACGTCTGAGGGGGCCAGAGCCACCGCTAGGGGGAGACACGCTCCCTGCTCGCCGCGCACGCGCGCGCCGCCCCGGCCTGGGCGCGGGGGGGCCGCGGCTCCGGTCCCCGGTTCTCTCCCCCGGTGTGCCCCGGTTCTCTCCCCCGGTGTGCCCCGGCTCCTCCCGCAGCCCCGCAACCCTCGGCCCCGCGCTCCCGGCCTTTCCTCTCGGCCTCTCCCGTCAGAGCCGGACCGGGCCGCGCCGGCACCTCAGGCCGCGGTGCGGACGCTGTCGCTTGGCAACCGCCCCCCCCATGGGCGGTGCGTGCACAGGCCACGCCCCCGCGCGCCGGGCCCGCCTGCGGGGCGGGCCGGGGGTACCGGGGGGCCCCGGCGGGTACCGGGCAGTGCCGGGCAGTACTGGGCGGTACCGGGCAGTGCCGGGGGTCCCGGCGCCCTCGCAGTCCCTTGGCCCCCCAGGATGGCGGCGTGGGCGCTGCTGGCGCTGCTGGCTCCGGCGGCGGCAGGTAAAGGGCTGGGGAGGGTCCCCCTCCGACCCCCCAGCCCCGCGGGCATCCTCTGCAGCCGGGCCCGGGAGCGAGCCTCCCCTGGGATCCCCCGAGACCCACTTCGGGGCACTTGGCATCGCCAGAACCCTTGGCATCACAGCAGCCCGGCTCCGACGCCCAGGGAATCCTCTAAGGCCTCGCAAGCCCTGATTTGGTGCCCTTTGCACACTCCGAGTCTCGTATGTGCACTGGCGCTTCCCCAGCCCCGCTCTTCGGGTGCCCCTCTTGGCACCTCCTGTAAATCCTCTCAGCCCCACTTTGACACCCTCTGAACCCCCAGACCCTCTTTGATGATGTTGGCACTAGTCTGAGCCCCACTTTTGGGCCCTTGGTGCCATCCCAGCCCCATTTTGCTGCCTTTGGCATCCCCCTTAGCCCAGTTTTGATGTCCTTGTTACCCCCCACCCATCTTTCACACTCTTTGCACCCCCAAGCTCTCCTATGCCCTTTGCACTCCCAGAGCCCCAGTTTTACACCCTCTGCACACCCTGAGTCCCACTTTGACAAGCGTGGCATCCCCCAAACCCCACCTCAATGCCCTTTGCATGCTTTGAGTCCCACTTTGATACCCTTCACACCCCCAGCCCCTCCCCAGCGCCCTTGGCCCAGCTCTGCTGCCGTGGGACGATGCTTTACGTAAGGTGGGAGCCGCATGCGGCTCCTTGGTGGTGTCTCGTGGGCTCTCCTCCCTTCCCTCCTCCCTTCTTCTTCCCTTCCCTCCTCCCAGCTGCTTTTTATAGCTTCCACTCTTCCCTGGCGTCTCAGTTTCAGGTTTTTTTTTTCTCCTCCGACTTGTTTTTTATATAACTCCCGGAGCCTTGTGGCATGAGGCAGCGGGACCAGCGATGCAGCTGACTCCTGAGGGGCCAAGAATATTGTTCCTTTCCTTCCTAAAACCCAGCCTAGGATGAGCTGCAGAGGAGATGAGGCTCCATGAGCTCTGATTTGGTCACTGGGGTTCTCTGCCCAGGTCACCCCTCACATATTATTCTGACCCCCTTTTCAAATATGATTTTCTTTTCACTCTGCAAAAATGGGGCTTTTGGGGATGCCAGAGCTGAGCCTTCTCCTTCCATCCCCACTGAAGGTGCCTTTGCCGATGCTGCTGTTTTCCATCCCACTCCTTGACAAACCTTTTTCCAAGGGAAAAACACATCAGAACATTAATTAGCAAGGCTGGGCTGGGAGAGACACTCCCATGCTGTTATTAGAGGAATTTTTACCAAAATCTGTATCCAAATCCATGTAATACAAGATGTAACATGCTCCCTGTGCTTTAGGAGGTGAATTCCCTCTTGTGGAATTTAAATTCTGCCCCTTCCTCAGCTCTGTGGTGATTTTAACCACTTTAAAGCTGACCAGGAATCTGTAAATTAGGTGGGATCTCAAATAATCTGTATTTAAGAGGGGGTCAGAGGCCATGCTGAGGGTGTTTTTCTCTTGGAGCTGATGTTTGCCCTGTTTGCTGGTTCCAGGGGGAATGCTCAGCTTTGCCTCCTACTATGGTGACCACATGGTGCTGCAGCAGAAGCCGTCAGGGGCTGTGGTGTGGGGCCACGGGGAGCTAGGGGCCGTGGTGACCCTGACTCTCTCAGGTGCCAGTGGCCTCGTCATCATGGAGAAAACAGCACAAGTTAAAGGTCAGTCCCAGACTTTCACTAGAAACTGATGGTTTTGGTGGCCAAAAACCTGTCTGAGCCCAAATCAGAGCCGATGGTGGGGTGGGTGAGGCAGGGTTTGGCACACCCCTGTTTGTCACGCTGCTGCTCTGGGGCTGCAGAGGTGCTCGTGACATCTCCAGCTCGTGGTTTTCCCTCTCCAGGAGACCTGGGTGGGCTCAGCCATTCCCCTCCCCAGCAGTGGCAGCCTTTGCTCACTTTGGTTGCCAGCAGTGGCTCCCGTGGGCGCCCAGCGGGAGCGGAGCTGCTGCTGGAGTGGGTGGCACCGCACGGGCTGGAGCCGAGCGATGAGGCTGTGGAGGGGACAAGGGGAGTTTAGCTTCTCTCCCTGTCTAAACCAGGTCTGAGGAACCTCAGGTTCTTTTTCAACCTGTGCCCCCTTGGAGGATCCTGTGGGATGTCTAGGCCCCAAAGGCTGTTGTCTGTGCAAGCAGAACCTTCCTGGAGCTGGGAGGGCTCAGGAGCACCTCAAATCCCAGCTACATCCCTGCCTGAAGACTTGGGAGGGAGCTCATCACCTTTGGAGGGTAAAAGTGCTGCCCAAGGGCATCTCCATAAGATGAAGAGCCTGGAGGTGTCTTGTGGGAGAGCAGCAGTCCTGGAGATCTGCAGGATCCAGCCAGAAAATCCACGCTAAGCTCCAGCAGAATATCTTTACGCTTCGATTTGGCGCCTCTAAAATTAGCTGGAGACATCTCAGTGTCACACACACCAAGCTGCTCCTGTAATCCCAGTTCCTCCCAGCAGCTTCTGCTCTGACACACATTTGTTTTCCAGGTTTTCTTTTTTAACCCCTAAATTCCTGCAGGAGAAAGGTCCCTCTGATGCCAGAGAGCTTCTGAAATCCACTTCCCCAACCTGTGTCTGTGGTGGAGAAGCTTTTCCCTGTTATCTGTCCTTCCCCACTGGTTGTTGGCTGCTCATCCAACATCCTGGTGAATGTCTTGAGGCCTTCATAAGGGTGGTGGAAGATAAGCACCATCCTCTTCCTCCAGGATCTTCTGGGACTTGGACAGCTGTCCTGGACCCAATGGATCGGGGCGGTCCCTATGCACTGACAGCTGAGCAGGGCTTGGAGAACGTGACACTGCGGGACATCTACTTTGGAGATGTGTGGCTTTGCAGTGGGCAGAGCAACATGGCAATGACAGTCCTGCAGGTAAGGCCCCACAGCACAGATCAGGAGCCGGTAGGAATCAGGCAGAGAAGCACCTTGCATGCTCCTGGCCCTTCTTCAGGTGGCCAATGCCAGCCAGGAGCTCGCCGCCGCCACTCACTATCCCTACATCCGTATCTTTGCTGCGGCGCCTGCCCGCTCCAATGTGGAGCTGGAGGACCTGGAGCAGATTGATTTGCCATGGTCCATTCCAACAGCTGGTGAGTGCAATGTGCCTCCAAAAGAGAGCTTGGAAATGGGTTTTTTCCCACTGCTTCCCTTTGCAGCCTGCTGTTTCTTGAGCAGAAAACCTGGGCCATGGGAATTTCACCTACTTCTCGGCCGTGTGCTGGCTGTTGGGGCGCTCCCTGTATGAGGCTCTGGGGACCCCCATCGGGCTGGTGGAGGTGGCCTGGGGAGGGACCCCCATCGAGGCCTGGTCCTCCCACCGAGTTCTGCAGGCATGTGGGCTCCCAGAGGACACAGGGAGGTGAGAGAAGGTGCTGTGGAAACACCTCCTGCCCTGTACCGCGCTGCTTTTGGGGAGTATCCTCATCCCTTCCCACCCCACCTCCTCTCCAGGAGCCTCACAGCCCCCTCTATGCATGATTATACCCTCTCTGGATAAAAACACCTTCCATGCCAAGCATAAGGCACATCTGGGTGGGTAAAGGGAGAAGAGAAGGACCCCAGATCTCCCTTTGCAGTGGTGCTTGCTTTAACCTAAAGGCTGTCTTGTGCTTTGTACCCCACTTAAACCTAGCTGTGTCTTCCAGCATCTTCCCACATCAGCATCTCTCTGGCCCACAAACTCCCTCCGTGCTCTGGAACGCCATGATCCACCCGCTGCTCAACATGACCCTACGGGGTGTCGCTTGGTACCAGGGTGAGCCCCCATTTCTATCCCCTGGGGTGGAGCAGCCCTCACTGTCCCACTGGCTCTCACCAGCCCTTCTTTCTGGGAGACAGGTGAGGCCAATACCTTCCTGAACACAGACCAGTACAACTGCACTTTCCCTGCGCTCATTGCCGACTGGCGCTGGGCGTTCCACACCGGATCAGCCGGACAGACGGAGCCACTTCTCCCCTTTGGCTTTGTGCAGGTGTCAGGGGGTGAGAGGGGTGACATCCCCTGTTGTCCTTGGGGGATGCCAGGGAGAGGATGCTCTAAACACATATGCATCCTGCCAAGTCCCCAGGCAGGGACCACAGTGGCCAGTTTTGGGATCTGAGCCACTTCCCCATTTCCCTTGTGCCCCTCAGCTGTCCACCTACCGCCGTCAGAGTGCAGATGACAGCTTCGCCCGGCTCCGCTGGCACCAAACAGCCAACCTGGGGGTTGTTCCCAATGCCAGGATGCCCAGAACTTTCATGGCTGTAGCCATGGATCTGGGCGATGAGCACTCTCCCTATGGCAGGTGAGTCCTGGGCTGGGGTGAGGGTGTAGGGATGGAGTTTTTGGGTTCCAGCTCCATCTTCCTCCTCTTCCTGGGCAGTATCCACCCCCGGGACAAGCAGAATGTGGCTCACCGACTGCTGCTGGGTGCCATGGCTGTGGCCTATGGGGACAAGGGCCTCGTGTTCCAGGGACCATATCCCACCCGGGCTGTCCTGGAGGTGACCAGGGGGCTGCTGAATGTCACCTACAGCCAGAAGCTCATCTACCGTCAGAGGGATGCGCAGGCATTTGAGGTGAGGAGTGGGATATCCTCTCCAAAGAGCTGCAAAAGGGAAGGCAACACTGATGGGAGTTTCTCCCCTCTCCAGGTGTGCTGTTCCAGCCAGGCATCCCCGTGCCAGTGGCTGCTGGCACCAGTGGTGGCAGTGGGGTCCCGCACGGTGACGCTGGCGCTGAGTGGCTGCAGGACACTGGTGCTGGGCCTGCGCTATGCCTGGGCTGAGTGGCCCTGTGAGTACCAGGCCTGCCCCCTGTACAACTCCCAGGGGCTGCCTGCACCCCCCTTCCTGCTGGACACCCTCCCTGCAGGGAATGCTGACGGAGGGAGAGAGCTGCTGCTCCTCCCCAGCTCCAGGTACCCCCTAAATTAGGGAGATGAGTGAGCTCAGACCTCTGGCAAAACACTAATGGCTCCTGGCACTGTCCCTTCCCAAGCCAGGGAATCAGAGACTTCATTACTACCTTATTAATTAAACAAGTTTTCAGCTCCTCTGTGGACTCAAGCCAAGGCTACAGGGTGGGGGGAAGGGGGAAAAGCCAATTACAATTAAATATATGAAAAATTATGTAAGGAGAAGCAGCAGGACACAGCAATGGGAGCTGAACCCCTCACTGCTGCTCCCTTCCCTATGGAGCTGGTCCTGGCCCCGCAGACACCCCATTTCTCTGGGCACAGACTGCTGATCCCCAGGGCAGGGTGCTCACAGGATCCAGGGATCAGCTTCCAGCTGCAGGGTGGAGAGGGGGAGAGAGGAGCTCTGCCAAAAAAACACAGCCAAATACTAAGGCTGGGCTGGGACAGGGAGCTGTGGAGGGCTGCAAGTGCCTTCCACCTCCCTCTCTTAATAAAAAGCTAAACTCATTTTATTCCTGGATCTTTTTTTTCCTTCAGATGAGCATTTCTAATCCTCCATGCCCCACCTCTTAGCAAAAGAGCAGGGAAATTTGTGTGAAGAGGCACAGCGTGGCACCCTGCACTTAGAATAAGAGACCAAGAGGTTCTGCACAAAACACAGATTATTTAACCCTTTTTTGCTGGACAAATGTACATAAGAAGGGAAAGGTCAGGTGCAGGAAGCACAGGTGGGTTCAGCCCGGCTGCTGCAGTAGAGCTCTGTCAGAAAAGTGGATCCTGGGATCACAGGATCCCTGCCTGCTGCCTCCTTCGGGGTCAGGCAGAGCCGAGCGAGTCCCGTGAGGCTTTTCCCATCGTTTCCACTCCAGGCTTTGGTTCTAGACAAGGAGAGAAGAGCAGGCAGTTAATTAGCTGGACTAGGATCTGGGCTTTTTCCAGCACCAAGTAACTGGCCCAGGAGCCAGCTGTGCTGGCCCTGGGTTGCCATAGTAACGAGGATGCAGACTCCAGCTCAGTCTGTGGGTTTTTTTATACCATAATTCAGACTGTGTTCAGGGCCAGGAGAGAAGCCCAGGCCTCTCAGCTCCTACCTGTGGGGCTGGGCTGTCTCACACAGCCTGCAAACCACTTGCCATGGGCACCAGGGGTCCCTGTGAGACCCCAGAGGAGGCATCCAGCTTCCCCAAAACCCAAAGCATGTGGGAGAGGGAGCAGTACAGGTCCTGGGAATGTGGTTTTATCTTGGAACCCATCTCCACACACAGGCCCACTGTGCCCACCAGTACCATATGAACGGGAGAAGAGGGGCGGGCATGGCATCCTTGGCATCAGCCCCCCAGGATTTAAAACTCTCAACCTCACTCCCAGCAGGATGAGCTGCCAAAAACAAGGACCCTCCCAGCCCCGCAGTTTGCCCAGAGCTTGGATTTAAGCAGCAATCTCTTGGCTTGCTGTTCCTATAGCAACCCCTGCCCACACCTTGGATCGCAGTAGCATCACACTCTGGATGCCAGAACCCCTTCCAGGATTTGTCAGCCCTCACAGTGACCCCCAGCTATGCCCTGAACACCTTAAGGTCTTGGCAAAGGATTTAGGGTTGGCCAGCCACATTTCAAGGGTGGGATCTTGTGGTGTGGGAGCCAAGAGAAGAGCAAAGAAGTTGTCTCTACCCAAAAAGCCTACCTAGGGCTGCACCATTGGAGAGGGCTGTACTGCCTTCGGCCTCGGGGCCGCAAGCTTGGTGTTTGGGCTTGGTGGTCTCCAGCCCAGCCAGCAGTGTCATGAAGTCAACGACAGTATCGATGTCCTCCTTGTTGGCAGTGGCTTCCCTCAGGGCACTGACAGCATTGAGGCGGCTGAAGGAGGTCAGCTCGGAGATGTTGGCACGGAGGAAGAGAAGGATGACGTTGAGGTCGTTGAGGGGGCAGGTGAGCATCCTTCGACTGAGCAGGTCGAAGGCAGGCAGCATCTCATAGACAGAGAGCAGCCCCTTGTCCCACTGGCAGAGCTGCAGGGCATTGTAGATGACAACAGGGATGAGGAGGACATAGACACTGCCAACTGAGAGGCTGATGAGCTGGAACACGGAGAAGAAGACCAGCTTGCAAGGGATGAGCGAGGGGATGTGCGCCTCTGCCTGGAGCAACCCCGTTTTGATGGAGCAGCTGAACTCATCCTGGAAGAAGATGTTAAGGTGGAGAAAGACCAGGTAGAGGCAGGTAGCAGCCAAGAACAGGAGCAGCAGCACGTTCCTCAGGATGTAGATGAACACCAGGGCGTGGGCGTGCTGCTTGCAGGTCAGGTACCGCTCCAGCAATGGGAACTCGAAATACCTCTCCTGGCGGGCCCTGGGGGTGGAGGGACACAGGGGGAGTGAGAGCCACCCCCCATTTCACCCAGTTCCATCCTGGGTGCAGCCACAACGTCCCGTGGAGGGACTCCAAGGGCCACAGTGACCTGGCCTGGCCTCACCTCTCATACTCCTCCCAGAATTGCTCCGGCTCGGCACTGGCCTGCTGGACCTTCTTCATGTGCTGCACCAGGCGCACGGAGCGGTTGTAGGATTTATCCAGCTCGTCGATGATGAAGAGGAGGTCGCAGTGCAGGGCAGGGGCGGCAGCGTAACGCCACAGCAGGTACGGCAGGTACATCAGCACCGCCACCACCAGCAGCGAGTAGGGGAAAACCTGGGCAAAGAATACGAACGGTTGTTGGGGATGTGGAGTTGCTCTTGCTGTGGATGTCCAGATGGGATGCAGGGGAACCCAGACGTGACTTTGACCCTACCTTGAGAGCCCAGAGGGACTTGGTGATGGCACGTCCCTCGGCATCGAAGCCATGGTGGATGAGGGAGTCCCAGCAAGCCGTGTCGGTGTAGGCAGACTGCTTCCCCGTGAAGTTGGTGGGAGAGAAGCAGCTGATCTGGGAGCCTGGGGTGAGAAGGAGAGCAAACCTCAGCCATGGAGGGTGGAGGAACACTCCAAAGCCATGAGCAAATGCCTTATAGGAGGGTAATTACATCTCAGGCATTGCTTTGAATCAAAAAAAGCCTTTTCATGGTCATTTTGGAGCTGCTGTGTTTCTAGCCAGGACTTTTCCATCTCTTCCCGAACACAAAACCTTTGTGTGTAGCGGTGTGTACACAGTGTAGGGAATTATAGACTAACCAGCCAAAAACTGGAGTAAAACCAAATCCTCAGGGAGAGCAGTTAGATGTTGGCCGAGGCCAGATTTAGCCTGAGGTCACAATTCATCTCTCCTTGCTGCTGGTACCCTCCTCCTCCTCCTCCTTCTCCTCCTTGGAAACAAGCCCATGGCACCCAAAGGTGCTGGGCACAAGCAGCTGAGGCTGGGCATTGACTCAGTGCTGCTCCTGGGGTTAGCACAGCTGTTCCCACACTGTCCCAGTGAATTATGATCCATTAAAAACAATCAATAAACACCCATGAGGCAGAACAGCTCCTAAAACTGGACTTCCAGGCTGTTCCGCTTTGGATCATGACACCACCAAGAATACAAGGGGTTTGCCCAAACCAAACCACCGCTGGTGATTGCCCACGACCTGAAGAACACATTGGAAAAGCTGCAACTCACCAGCAGAGAACTCCCGGGCGAAAGCCAGTGAGACGAGGAAGAGGGGCAGCCCCACGGTGACAAACTTCAGCAGGCGATCGCTCGGCAGCTCCAGCCGCAAGCCCTTGGCTCGGGAACTGCTGGGATCCGGGAGCAGAGCATCAGAGAGCATGTACTCGGCGGCCGTGTGCGAGAGGGACATGTTGAAGTGAGGAAGAGACACTGATGAGGGCTGCCTGAGGTGTGACTGGCTCAAGGAGCGACTCTGCCAGGCTGAGGAGCCCCTGCCGAGATTCTGCAGAGCGCTGTGTCCGGCAGCTGTGAACGACAGCTCAGCCAGGGCGTTAAATCACCTCGTAATTACAGGGGAAGCCTTTTCACAAACAGAAATAGAAAAACCCACCCCAGCAGCCACAGCGGCAAGCAGGGAAGGCAGCAGGCTGGGAAAGCAGCTCTCCTCCCTGACAGCATTCCTGCAGGGCAGCGTTCCTGCCCGGCCACAGCCGCTCCTGGCTCCCCGTGGTTTTATGTCCCTCTCTCATCAGCCAACAGATTTCTGGCGCTGTGGCCCGAGGGCATGGGGGTCCCCAGCTATTTTCAGCAGGGAGCCAGGGGACTGGGCCCTCCCACAGCAAGAAGCCCCAGCCAGATACACAGTGGCCCAGTGGGGCATAAAACCCCCTTTCCAGCACCCAAACCAGCCAGAGGGGTCAGAGAACATCCTGCTGCCCAGCCCCAAGCTCCTCAGACAGGTCAGGAGACACCAAATGAGATAGTTTTGAGGCAGAACATCTGCTGCCATTACCCAGATCACCAATCCCTTCTCCTGCCTCCCTCTCAGGGCACAGGGGGAAGAAACTGGCTCTAAGGAAAGTTCCCAAGGGCAAGGAACCCCAAAGGGGTTCTAAAAATAAGGAGTAGGTAACTGAAAAAGCAGTTACAGAACAGTTTCCCAGCAGCACAGTGCTGAGAAACCCACACCAATGCTGCTGGCAGCACAGAGCAGGGGCAGTCTCAGAGCTGCTCAGCCCAGCCAAGCCAAGGAACCCCTTGTGCACAGCAAAAAAATACCCAGAGCCACTGCCAAATTGCACTTTCGATGGATTTTCCAATGAAGGGACTCTCCAAATCTGAGCTAAACAACTCTGGAGAGACAAGTGACAATTCCAAAATCTGGGAGGGGCTGCAACCAGGTCTGCTCAAACCTCCACAGACTCAGTCCCATCTGGCCAGAGCACAGAGACACACACCACCTTCCCTCAAGGGAACTGGAGCTTTTATTGCCCAGAGACAAGTTCAAAACACAAATCAGGCAAAGCCCAACTTTCATCCAGCCTTGTTTGTCTCAACTAGAGGCTCCTCAGTGTGTCCAGCTGCTTTCCTGGGCCAGAAGCACATGTAGGCACCCACTCTGAATCCAGCAGCATCAGCACCAGCGCAGAGACTGCAGGCTTCACCCCACCACCGGCTCCAAGGTGGGCACAGCTGCTGCCACGTGCTGGAGATGTCGAGATGCATGGCACCATTCCACTCCTGCCTCGTCAATCCTTAGGGATGTCCAGCTCTAGCTTCTTCAGTGTTTTCTGGAAGAAGAGGGGCAGCTTGCAGACAAAGTCTAAGGGCTGGCCCAGGGGCAGGCACAGGCGGTGGGCATGCAGGTGCAGGGGCAGGTGCCGAGCCTTGCTCTGCTCCAGCTTCAGCCTCCTCAGGGTGAGCTCAGGAAGCTTCTGTAGCAAGGACAGAAAGTGTTCCCTTGAAAACTGCAGCTTTTCAGCTGGGACTTGAAATCCCCAGCCCACGAGCAGCTGGGGGACACGAGGGGCTGTATCCAGCTCCAGGTGCTCCCCAGTGCAAGACCTGCCTTACCTGGGGCGCCAGTTTGCTCCAGTGAGAGTATTTGTGATCCCCCAGGATGGGGCACCCCAGGCCATAAGCCAGGTGAACCCGGATCTGGTGCTTCACCCCTGAGGAGAAAAGGGGAAGAAGAGAAAGCTGACATCCAGCTGGGCCAAGCCTCACCCTCGGTGCTGGTCAAAACCGTGCTGAAATCACTGGCAGCCAACAAACAGCTCGGCAGCAAAGCATCACCCCAGCAGGGCTCATTCCCAGAGCCTTGTCCCAAAAACAATTCCAGTCTTGTCTAATGACAAGCTCCCCCTTCCAGAGCTGCTGCTGACCGCGCAGAGAGCAGAGCCAGCCCTGGGACAGCCGGGCAGGCCTCACTCACCGGTGATGGGCTGGAGCTCCAGCAGCGAGCAGGCGGAGGCGGCGGCCAGCCGGCGGTACCGCGTCACCGCGCGCTCGGCGTGCCGGTTCCCGCGGGCCTTCACCGCCTTCCCATCCTCCGGACGCAGGCGGTAGTTGGGAGCCAGCGTCATCTGAAGGGTGTGAGAGGGGGAGTTGGGGGAGACACGAGGGGATGCTGGGGCTGCCTGGCCAGAATGGCGGCCAGGGAACACAGGACTCACCTTGTAGTGGGACTGGTGGCTCTGCACCTCCTTTTCCACGATGGGGATCTCCACAACGCCCTCAACAGGGTCCGGGTCCCCCAGGACAATTGCCCTGGAAAGGGAAAGCAGAGGTCTGCGGGGTGCTGCTCTTACAGGACAGGAACCCTCCCCTCAGCCCCTCTCCCACGACCCAGTCCCATAAAATGGTGCTGAAGGGGGAAGATAAGCAACACCCTCTACTTCCACAAAACCCCCAGACCCCAGGGATTGTCCCCTCACCCTTTTTTAAAGGCCTTTCACAGCCCTCTCTTCACTCAAGCCTTTCCTACCAGTAGATCTTCTCCACCTGACGGGTTTTGAAGAGCAGACGGATCTTCTCTGCTGCCTCCTTGCTCCGTGCCAGCACCATCACACCCGTGGTCTCCTTGTCCAGCCGGTGGCAGAGGTGGAGGGGCTCAGCTTTCATGTTCTCCAGCATCTTGGCCAAAATGGGCAGCACATCAGCGATGCAGTTCTTGATGCCGGGGCCGCCTGTGTGACCCAGCAGCAAGGAGTCTCACCTCTCGTACTCCCCATGCACCCTAAATCACCCCAAAATGCAAGGGGAAGGCCGAGATCTGACAGTGGCCAAGCCCCTGTAACCCTCCCTGGGAAGGGAAACCCCAGCACAGGAAGGGCAGAGACAGAGGATCCTGTAAACACCACGGATCCATTTCCATTCCCCACTCGCCCTCACCGTGCACAGGGAGCCCGTAGGGTTTGTCTATCACCACAATCTCTCCATTCTGATATAGAGTTCTCTCCTTAAGGATCTTGGCCAGGACGTTGGGGTGAACCTGCTGCAGCTGCTGGCTCATTGCTCCAGGGAGAGCTTAGAGCCCCTTCCAGTGCCTAAGGGGGCTCCAGGGGCGCTAGAGAGGGACTTTGGGAAAGGGCCTGGTGTGACAGGATAAGAGGGAATAGCTTCACACCGACAAAACATGGAGTTAGAGGGAATACTGGAAAGAAATTTTCCCTGTGAGGGGGGTGAGACCCTGACACAGGTTGCCCAGAGCACTGCCCCATCTCTGGGAGTGCCCAAGGCCAGGAAGCACTGGAAGCTTTGGAAGAAGCCTGGAGCACCCTGGTGTAGGGGAAGGTGTCCCTGCCCCTGGCAGCGGGTGGAGCTGGATGGTTTTTCTCCCACTCCAGCCGATCCCTCACCGGCGAGTCCCGCTCGCCGTGCCCGCCCGCGCAGTGCACGCCGGGAGTTGTAGTCCGGAGACCCCGGGCCCAGCGGCCCGCACTCCGCTCACCTCTCGCTGTTGCTCCTCGCTCTTCCGCAGCCGCTCCGCCAGCTCCTCCGCCCGCAGAGCCGCCGTCGCCCGTCCGCTCCCGCAGACGCTACGCACCGCCTGGGCCAGCCCAGCGCCACTCCGCCAACAGCGCCTCGCCGCGCCGCCGCCCGCCGCCATCTTCTGCCTCCTTCTCCGCGTCCCTCTGCCGGCCAATGGCGACGCCGCGGGTGCGGCACAGCGGAGGGCCTGTCCAATGGGAAGGTGCCGCCTGCTGAGCGACAGCCGCGCTGGCCAATGGCGGCGTGCGGGGGTGTTCAAACCGCGGCGGCGGTTGCGGGTCACAACGGAGCGGCGGGAGCGGCGCGGCCGGCCCGGAGGTACCGGGGAGCGAGAGGGGTGGGGGTCCCGGTCCCAGCCGTACAGCCTCAGCCGTCCCCTCAGCGCTGCCTCTGCGCGGGGGGCGCTGAGCCCCCTCCCACTGCCCCCAAGCCAGAACACAACACCGTTTCGCTGGGTTTCTTGAGATTTATAAAAAATAGCACTGCAAAAGCATTTTTTTTTCTCAACGACAGTAATTTTAAAAAACGGTGAAGGGTCTGCTGCCCCCATGCCGAGGTGCCCCGTCACTCGGTGTCCATACAGATCCTCTTGGGCAGCTGCTCGGGGGCCCCACTGCTGCCCCGCTTGCCCTCGGGGGGCTCCCCGGGCCCCTGCCCCGGCAGCCCCGGCCCCTGGGGCGGCTCGATGCGGCCCCTCCGCACGAAGTGCTCGATCCGGGCCTCCAGCCCCTCGCACCTGGGCCGGGCCAGCAGCGGCTTGTAGGTGCGGGCTTGGACCCCTTCCACAAAGCCGCTGATCTGGCTGTGGAGTGGGGGCTGCAGCTCACCCCAGGGCACCAGGCTGCTCCCTGGACCTGTGATATCATGGAAAAACAGCATTTAATTATCCCCTTCTTTCTTTTTTTTTTTTTTTTTTTTTTTTTTTTTTTAAGCAGTTAATCCTCTGTAATTCCCAGAATCCCATAATGGTGGCGTTGGAATGGACCTTAAAGCTTGTCTCATTCCACCCCCTCCCATGGGCAGGGACACCTTCCACTGTTCAGGGTGCTCCAAGCCCTCTCCAGCCTGGCTTTCAACACTTCCAGGGATCCAGGGGCAGCCACAGCTTCTCTGGGCACCCTGTGCCAGGGCCTGCCCACCCTCCCAGGGAAGAATTTCTTCCCAATGTCCCATCTAACCCTGCTGTCAGCATGCATTCCAAGTTATTCCCCCCAGACTCCCTCTACCTTTTCTGGTGGCCACGGGAGCAGCATCCAGCCCTGCCAACATGTCCCGGAGCACGTGGGTTTTGATGGCGTGGCTGGCCCAGAGCTGCTGCAGGTGTGTCACGTTGAAGCCCTGCACCTCTGGGTCGTAGAGCCACTGCAGGTCTGGGAACTCGCAGTCGTACAGGACCAGGGGGAACTCGACTGCCATGCTGTGGGCAAGGACAGGAGGTGGGACCAGAAAAAGGCTCAAGAACAATGGATCTGCCAAAAGCAGCCCTAACCTTCACAGAACTTCCTTTCTGAGTAAAAAGTGACTTAATTTTCACCAAATACCAAGGACTACAGCTATCAAAACTTTGCTCAAGAGCAAGAAAACAGAGATCCTTGTGGATAAATTCCAGTGAGGCCACTGGCAGTCTGTTTCCACGCGTGAGACTGCTTCATGTGCTGGCCTGGTTTGCCAGCAGCACTCCAGGCAAAGCTGTTGATCTGAAGAGCAGCCCATTGGGTTTTCCAGACCAATCCCTACCTGTACTGTGGTTTCCGAGGGTTCTTCTCCACGTTCAGCAGCTCATCAATGACATCTGGGCTCTCCATGCCCTGGCCAATGAGGAAGAGCACGGCCATCATGCAGCGGACTTGGTGGTACAGGAATGCCTGTCCTGTCACCTCGAACTGGCACAGCTGGAAGGGATCCCGTGGCCTGGCTTCTCCTCCCCCGTCCACCCACGTCACTCTGGCGCTGAGGATCGTCCTCTGGAAGTTGAGCACCCCGTTGGCCACGTCCATCTTGCAGAGGTTGCGGAAGTCGTGGGTGCCCACGTAGCGCTGGGCCGCGGCGTCCATGAGCGCCACGTCCAGCTGGGCGCGGGGGAAGAAGTAGCGGTACGTGCGGCTCAGGCAGCTGAAGCGGGCGCTGAACTCTGCCCCCACGGGGGCCCAGGCCAGCACCCGGATGTCGGGCGGCAGCACCCTGTTGAGCATGTGGGTGTAGCGGAGCTCCTCCTGCTGCCCCTCACCCTCGTGGCCGTTGAGCTGCTGTCCATCTGGCAGGCTGGAGCGGAGATCCAGGGAGATCACCTGCAGAAATGAGGAAAGCCGGGATTAGAGCGCGGATGGATGGGCGCAGCGGCATGTGGAGCCAAGTCTTCCCACACCTCTGGGAAATAAATCCAGGATCTCCTACAGATGAAGGTGGCTTCAGTCAGGCAATCCTACCATGGCAGAGCTGCGAGTGCCTCTGAGGACCCGAGCAGATGCCATGGATTCCATTAATAAAACAGGGAAAGTTGCAGGCTGCCTACGTAGCGCAGTCTCGGAACGGCTTCATCTTTAGTCACGGGGTTATAATGTGGTTTTTTTTTCTCAAGCTGGAGGTGATGACTTGAAGGCAGTAACAGCCTGGCTGGCCGGGAAGCCTGGTGTGGGAACAAGTTCATTCCCACCGTGGGTGCCGTGTGCTGAAGTGGTGCAAGAGAAGGCACCAAATGCCCTGATTTCATGTGGCTTATCCTGTGAAGGAGAGCAGAGCAGCCATTTGAAGTTAAACCTACACCAGCTTTGCTTTCTGTGCTGGGAGGGAGGAAAGGAGAACTAGCCCTACGGTGCAGCCAGCAAGGTTGCTCTCTCTCCCCAGTGTCTCAGCCAGCCTGATGGCTCCATGCCCACCAAGCGGGCCAGCTTGCTTCCCTCCCTCCCTCCAGCTCCCACTCCCACGCTCCCTTCCGCTGGCTGCAGCTCCCCTCAGACCCTTCTGTGCAGGAATTCAGCTGCCTGATGCTGCAGGAAGTGAGCCGGTTCCTGGAGATTTTGGGTTTTTGTAGGGTTGGCAAGTTAAATGAGCTGAGAGAGCCCTGCTGAGGGCAGGGCATCACCAAGCTATTGGGGAACCTGCAGCCTAAAACATGTTTTATCCTCCTAAAACAGGACCCTGGAAAACAGCTAGTATGGGGGGGAAATGGCACTGAAAAGGCTTCAAAGGTCTGAAATCATCATTGCACATGCAGGAAGCCATTGCCAGGTTCACTTCCAGGGTTAAGAGCTGATGGCTTTCAAAGAAGAAATCCAAGCAGTCCTGTGGGACAGTAAGCCCATCAGAACTCCACCCCACCCAGGAAAACCGACAGGAACCCCCACGGAGATGCTGACCTGCCCGAAGGCACTGACACCCTTGTCCGTGCGCCCGCAGCGGTGGTAGTTGGACGTCTGTCTGTCATCCACCAGCCGTGTCTTCTTCAGGGCTTCAAAGAGCTTCTCCTCGATGGTGTTGGGGGTGTTCTCCTGGCTGGCAAAGCCCTGGTAGCCCCAGCCCAGGTAGGCGATGCGCAGTGCCACGTGTCTGCGGCTGTGGGCACCGAAATCAAAGGGCCGTTGTTGGCGTTTCCTGGCTTTCGCAGGGGCTGGAGGAGCCTCTTTCCTCCCAGTACCCTCCTTGTCCTCCTGGAGCTTCTCCTGCAGCCGCTTCACCTCCACTTCCAGCTCCTGCACCCTCCTCAGGAGCTGCTCATGGTCAGTAGCTGTGCTCTCCTCAGCCATAGCCACCACCTTGGAATGTCAGTTTGTTGCCGATGGATCCTTGGGGTCTGCAGGGAAAGAAAAAAATGGTGGATTTGCATTTTTATGTGTTGGGTTTTTTTTAGACCTCTAGGCTTATTCTGCAAAATAACTGTTACCAACAGAGTCAGTCTTTATTGTCTGAGCCCCTTGGTGTTCCCAGGGGAGCACAGGCAGGGCAGGGCCACTGGTGCTTAGCTTGGGCAGCTTCATTTCACTCAAATTTCTTTTTCTGGATGCTTCAATCACTCCTCTTCCCCCAGCTGATGGGATCTGCTCCGTCAGCAGCAGCACGTTCCCAGCGAGCCGTCACGGAGCCATTGTCACTTTCACACCTGCATCCCCGCTGCAGACAGCGTGCTGACGGCTGCCACTCATCCCGCCCCGCCATCTGCTCCCACTGTTCCCAGCAGCACCGGCAACACTTGCGGCTTTTCAAATTGCCTTAAAGAGAGCCTAAACCTGTGCTCGGAGTGGAATCTGTGTCTGGGATCCCTTTTTGTCACAGGGCTGGAGGTTTACTATCGCCAGACTCATAAATGAGCATCTAAACACATTGCACTGAGCCCTTCCTTCCTCTGGAAGGAAAACACCCTCTTGGATGTCTCTTGATTAAATTATGACTAAATATTGTGGGTTTAGAAGCAGAGGTACAAGGAAGGACCATTAATCTCTCACCCAGTGCATGGAACCTGCCCTGTGTTTTTCCATGAGTACTTAATTTATCACATAATTAATTTTAGTGTAGATTTCTAGCTTGAATTTAGGGGTTGTGTGTGTGTTACTGTATGGAAGAGCCTTCTGCTGGCAGCAGGAGGTTTAGCAGTGCACTGAGGACACCCCCAACCTAAATCAACACCCCTGAACCCAAAAAGAGCATCAGAACCCCTTTGACATCTTTAGCCAACCTGAATGTACTGCAATAAATTAACCCTGATTTCTTTTTCTGCAGAATCCACCCAGTTTGGTGGGAGCCATGGAGAAGGTGCTAAGAGCAGAGCGTGAGGAGCAGCTGGCAGCTGATCTGAGCCCGTCGAGCTCCTGGCAGGGATGCTACGACGTGCCATCGTGTTTCGAGGATGATCCCTATGCTGACGCATCCCTTGTTTATGGCACACAGCCAGCCCTTCCCATGGATAAAAGGGAAACCAGGAGGTTGGTGATGAAGAGGAAGGTGCTGAGGCACAGACCTGATGGAAGGGTGGAGGTCTCCGATGAGTCACCAAGCATCGAGTCAGATATAAACACCTATCCATGGAACCTGGGGCATTCCAGGACTTACATGGACGACAGCGTCTCCCAAGGGGAAACAGAGACCAGCAGCGGCACCTTGGAGGACTTCCTGCACTATGATGATGATGACTGGTTCATTGAAGACAGGCCCTACTCTC